AGTGAGGATACAAGCATAACCTATGACAAGTCTATAGGATATCAAAGACTCACAATCTCGTCCACCCTCTACCCAATCAAACCGAACCATCGTACTCTGAAAAGGAGAAAGGAATATTTGTTGCAATGGCATACCCACGAGGATGTCTCCCTTGGATTAGCCAACTTAAAGGCTTAGCCACTCATGCTTAAAGTAAAGACAACAATGTAATGAGAAGACATTATGAAGAAATAAAGACTGGAGCTAAGCTAATGCAAAGAAACATAAACTAAGAGAGAATATATTTAATACCTATTTTTAAACTAAGAAATTGAAAGAAAACGAAATGCACAAATATAACTTCCGAATAATTTATACATGTCCATCACCTCTTTCTAAAGAATGAATGAGAAACTACTCACTCTTCATGAGTTTGGTAAAGCTAGAAGAGTGAGTGATGTTCATCCCTCCAAGTAGAGGAGTTACAAGGTAAAACACTTTACACAAGAAGTCGATCTTCGACAAAGAATGAGTGAATCACGTTCCACCCTTCACAACTTTAGCAAAGCTCTAGAAAAGTGGAAGAGTTTCACTCCTCTAAGGGAAGAAGGAAGCTCAAACAATTGAAGTAAAAGAAAGCAATAATACAGTAAAAGAAAGCAATAATACAGTAAAAGAAAGCAATACTTAAAGTAATAAATTAAAGAAAGCAATACTTAAAGCAATAAATTAAAAGAAAGCAATACTTAAAGTAATAAATTAAAAGAAATCAATAATATAATAAATGAAAGCAATACTTAAAGAAAACAATAATACTTTTGGAAGGCTTTTCACTACCAAAAGATGAATGTTTTACAAGTCCTAAGGAGTGGTATTTATAGGCAACAAGGGAGGGTGAAAGTCTTGTTTGGTGACTTTGAATTATACTTTGATCCCCTTTTGTTTTGAGCTTTGATAATTGGCACCCTATAGTTTGTAGCTTTGATAATTGGCACCCTCTAGTATGCAACTTTGATAATTGGCTCTCCAGTAGTTTGTAGCTTTGACACAATTGGCTCTCCAATAATTTGTAATTTTGACGCACAAAACCCTGAAAAGAACAACAATCAATGAATTATCTTTAATTCACACATTAACCCTAATTTGATTTATTTTGACTAGTTTAACTATATTTAACTAACACAATTGACTTATTAAGTTAATTAAATTATGTTTTAATCAGGGTTAATCAGGTAACAGTACCACGTGTAAAAGTATTAGTTTCTCTTCCAAATTTTTAAAATTTAAATACAACTTTGTCAAGCCCTCAGACCTTGAACCCTCTTTTTTAAATGATGGAATTTGTTAAATATTAGGTGCTAATTGATGGGATTGAACCTTGGTATGGTTAAACGAGTAAAGAGTAATAAATTGTGTTCGGTAGTGTTCCGGTACATGGAAGACTCTGCCCAAACTTTGTTTTGGTTATGATCCCGGTGAAGGGGATATGGTGACGTGGTATCGAGTTACGCGGCATTCATGGGTGATTCCACAGATTGATGGATGATGAACGGGTTTAGAAAGGACTCCCAGATTTGGAACATCACAAAGGTCAACTTTTTTTCGGATCCTTGATTTTTTTTGTGATATAGTACCTCATGGGGCATCAAGACCTATCAATTCTTATGTAATGTCCCTCATAATATCCTTTACAATATCTTCACTTCCTTCTGCAACTACATGTGTACTTATATGTTTTCTATTCCTTTGCATATCTCACACATCTCCATCAAATCTTTGTCATCATCGACCAAACTTCTATTATTTGAACCAGACACCTCATAATATAGTTTGAAAGCTAGACAAATAGTATTAGGTGTATTTGATAACATAAACACATCCGAGAATAAATGCACATGATAATACCTATTTGGATCAACTCTTTGGACTATGAATTGTTGGTCATCATAATGTATGATCAAGTTATGGTAATTCACAACCATTTATATCCGCTAACACATTGAAAAAAAAACATTTGTTAAAAATATATTTTAAAAATATTAGCTAATGTATAGACAAGTTTTTGCACACAAAGTAACCCTAATCCTAATACCCAAAATTGTTTGAAACCCTAATTGAAAATCTGAGGCCAAAAGGTATGTTATTTGTAAAAATAAGGCCAATAGAAACCATAATTGAAAACCTAAGGTGAAAGGGGAACCCCACTTGAAAATCTAAGGCAAAAAGAAACTCTAATTAAGAACTAAGGACCAAATGAAACTCTAATTGACAAATAAGGCCAACAGAAACCCTAATTGAAAATCTGAGGCACAAAAAGAACCCTATTTTTAAAAATAAGGCCAATAAAAACCCTAATTGAAAACCTAAGATGAAAGGGGAACCCTACTAGAAAATCCAAGCAAGGCCAAACAGAACCCTAATTAAAAAACTAAGTTTAATAGAAACACTAATCAAAAGTCCTTGGAAGAAAAGGACCACATGCAAAGAAGTGCTAAGAAGATCAAAGAAAGTCATCCCTTTGAAACAAAGGACCATTTGATGAACGAGGATTCTACGTTTGGTTTTGAGAACTTCGATGAGAATACGAAACCAGAGCAGGATTCACAGCCTACACAGATGGAGCTACCAAAGAGAAACTACCAAGATGCTCTTAGGGTGGAGAGTTCTAACATCTACTTTGACCCATTAGTTTACGAGGAAGTCTTCGATGATGAAGTTATGAGGGATGAAGGCTCAGAATCTAAAACAAGGAGGAACGAACCATTATTGATAACTCAGATGAGATCTGCCCTAAGATTTGTCTAGGAAATAAAATCCTTGATAAAATAAGAAGAAGGTGGAGGGATGGCCTGATTGTGAAATTTTTGGGTAGGAACATTGGGTATAAGATGTTATGTAACAGGTTAGGAATATTTGGGGGTTAATTGGGGATTTTGAGGCAATTGATCTTGATTTTGGATATTACCAATTCAAGTTTAAGTTGAGAGAAAGGACTGTAAAAGGGTAGCTACAGGGGTTTCATGGATAATTTTGACTCACTACCTCATAGTCTGTAAATAGGAATCAGACTTCATTCCATTAAGAGCCCAAGAAATTTCCACAGCATTATGGGTTCTATTTCTGAGCTAATTAGAATACTATAAGGAGAGCACCTTGTTTAAGATTGCCAAGGCATTGTGTAAACCAATTAACGTGGATGTTAGGACAGCCACAGTAGAGAGAGGGAAGTTTACTAGAATGTGTGTGGAAAGGGATTTATCTAAACCATAGATTTCCCACTATAGATTGGGAGAGAAATTGTTTAGGGTTGATTATGAATGTCTCCCAGCAGTGTGTTTCACTTGTGGAAGGGTGGGTGCTTGGTTTACTTCTCCGTCGTTCCTAATCTTCAAACATGAACCCTCAATGTGTGTGGCCTATGTGTGTGGGTGAATGTCACTCTCCCTCGGGTTCGATGTAAGAAATGGGAAAATGGGTGTGTGGGATGAAATATGTGTGTGTGTGTGAACAAAAGTGCTCTCCAAGCGTAGAGAGACTTTTGAGGGTCATATTTTACTTGAAATTTGTATTTCAAGGTCGTCTCCTCAGGGAAGGAAGGGAATTATGTTGAAGGTGATTTTGGTGAAAAAGGAAAAGTGGAAAAATCTTTGATGTTTGAGATTTGGTGAATTGCGTTCTTGATGAAAATGAAATGGAGTAAGTGTTGGGTAATCTGAAGAGGTAATTCCAATGGGAATGTCAAATCAACTTAAGACTTCCTCCAATGGTGCCTAGATTTTTGATTGATTCGTAGGAGGCGAGGGACTAAAATGGAGGTGAGGATTCAAGCATACCCTGTGACAAGTCTATGGTGTATCAAGAACTCACAACTAACACTCAACCTAGTCAAACCAAATCATTGTACACTATGAGGAGGAATGAAAAAAGGTCGTTTAGCATACCCAAGAGGAATTCTCCCTTGGATTAGCCAACTAAAAGCTTATCTACTCATTTTTAAAGTAAGAATATAAATGTAATGAAGAGACATTGTAAAGAAATGAAGATTGGAGCTTGGATTGATGCAAGAAATCTCAAAATATGAAGAAAAACATTCAATACCCATTTTAAAAACTTGAAATGAAGAAAGCTTAATACAACAATGGTGAAATCAAAAATGTAGCACTAAACTTGCAATGTACTTGTAATAAATGACATTAAAGACATTAAATGAAGCTTACATAAGTCTTACATGAAACTACAAGTGAAATGGATGGAAAAAAAATGCAAAAACATAAAATTCTCTCTCTAGAACTTCATATTCTTCCTTGAGCTTCTCTCTCTACAATGCAATACAGTCTGAATAAATGGTGTATAGAGCTTGCATTTTCGTCCATAGAGGTCCCCCTAGGTGTGAGACAACCCTCCCATCCATAGGAGGCTAATTGGATGGCATGAGGCAGGCTAGGACAGCCTACCCAACAACTCTCAGGTTTCCTTTCTTCTCTCTCCTCTTCATTAATGCTCAAGCCTTCAAAGTCCAATGCTAGGGTTGAGGAGGCATGTCTATGTGTAAGGAGTGTCAGGGAACAAGTGGAGACCCATGGGTGGGATCCACAAAGTGGTAGAGCTTGAGTTGCAGAATCTGGCATTTTCAGCAAAACCTACCGATAGGTCGATGGCCAAACCTACGGGTAGGTTTTACTCCAGTAGCCAAAACATTCTGGTAGAAACCACTCCAGTAGCCAAAACCTACCGATAGTTTTATGAAAAACCTATTGGTAGGTTTTAACTTGTTTTGTTTAATTCTTGGTTCTTTCACCTTCCAAACTCTCGTCAAGCCTCCCCCTCAACTCCATTGACCTTTAAGCACCATGATAGGAGCCTAACATGCACTATTTAAACTCTTTTACCTATAAACACACCGAAACATCATTATAAGCTTGAAACATTTCAATTCTCCTCATTTTCACCCCAAAAGAATGTACAAAAGGGGTGTAAATGCACACATGATATGCAATATTTCGTGCTAATCAGTGGGGCATATGAGCCAGTATTGTCCTCACTTACAAAAGTCAGCTCATTCTCTGAACAAGGTCGTCAAAGAAGAGAACTCCATCGGAGTAGTCATTTCCACTGGAGCAACTGTCATTTCAAAAGCAACGGATAGCCCTACTGCAAAAGCATATCATGTTTCAAATTCAAAAGAGAATGGGCTAGTGAGCCTCAAGGCAAATACAAAGGATCATGAGGTTAGGGATTTTGGGCCTTGGATGATAGCCTAGAATAGGAGAAGAAAGTCTATTTCAAAAAACCAAATGGGGAGTGGACCAACCCAAAAACAAGGGAATAGATTTCAGGTGTTAGAAGTGGACCCATCAGTTTATGAAGAGCCCACTGATTCCAAGAGATCTAGTAAGCAGAAGCAGTCCAAAGAACAAGCTAGTAAGAGGCCTAGCTCATGCCAAAAGAGGCAGTGGAACCCAAAGGCCCAGAAGGAATTTCTACAAAAAGGGGAATCAAAATAACAAGTCAAAAAAGTCTAATTGAATTCCTGAGGAGGGTCAGAGATCCCAAGATAAAGAGATTGTCTAGGAAAGAGAACCCCATCCTATGACTATTAGATCTTCAAAGGTAATTCCAATGGTCGCATTAGCTCAGTCAGTAGAGTCAAATTTTCATCACCAAAGCTCTAGTTCCAATGGCCTAACCCTAACCCCAATACGTCCAATTTCTTCCCCTTACCCTGACATCTCCCCAAAAATTCTTCCCCTTCTCTAGTTAACAAAAATCTAAACCCATCATCGAAACTCGCAGTAACTAAGAATCATGAACCAAATAGGGAAACAAGTCCCTCAGAACCACCAGATCCAGGCGATGGAGGAAAGGATAAAGGGGATCCAGTCGTTGAGGTAGATACAACTGAACTCGATCTCTGTGGGTCTCATCTTCAACCGAACGAGCAAGAAAAATGGCTTGTGAATGTCAACTATGTGATTAGAGCAGTGAGGATTGTGATAGAGGACTCCTACCTCACCGTAGCAGAAGTCCACACAACCGCAGTTACTATAGCTGAAGTGGACCTGCTAGAGGATAATAGAAGAAGAGCCCAAGTGTTTTTTGAACCGTGAGAACAGTTATCCTTTACCCCATATGTCATCTATGTCTTCCATGAAAATTATGACTTGGAATTGTAGGGGAGCAGGAAACCAAAATTTTAGGCAAGCTTTTAGAGACTCTTTCACTCTCACTCACCTGATATGATGGTCTTGATGGAGACAAGAGTCCCTAGTGTCCAACTAGGGAATTTCTTTGAACAGTTTGGATTGAAAATGGATGCTAAAGTTGAACCAGAGCGTAGATCTGGAGGTATTTGGTTGTTATAGGATCCCTGTAGGGTTACGATTATAGTGCCTGAGGTGAATTTCCAAGTTATTCATGCAGTGGTGTCCAGAAAAGACTTTGAGGGGTGATTTTTTTCTACTGTGTATGGTAGCCCTAATCCATCGACTAGGGAGGTCCTATGGAATAATATGACCACTATAGGTGATAACTTTCAGAACTCATGGATAGTGGCAGGGGATTTCAATGATTTCTCTAGTAATACTGAAAGAAGAGGAAGACACTCTAATTAACATAGAAGAACTACCAAGTTTATAAAGAGAATAAACTAGTGTGGCCTCATGGATCTAGGGTGTAGTGGACCAAGGTTAACATGGACCAACAAGAGGAAGGGCCTTGCTAATACTCTGATTAGGTTAGCAGAGCTCTTGCCAATACGAACTGCAGGTTGCAATTCCCTGAAGTATCTGTTAGAAATCTCCCCCGTACGTACTCGGGCCACTGCCATATTCTCATCTAGCTCACTAGTAACATCTCAACCCCCCCCCCCAGTCTAGACCTTTCAGACTTGAGGCGGTCTGGCTTACACATGATTCTTTTATTAATGTTGTTCATGATACTTGGGCAAGTCATGGTTACTCCTTGCATGAATCCACATTGGCCTTTGCAAAAAATGCCCTGAAATGGAATCATAACACTTTTGGAAATGATTTTCACAGAAAAATAAATCTTAAGGCTAGGCTAGAGGGTATACAAAAATCCCAAGAAAGACAATACTCTCACAATCTTGAAAGGTTAGAAGAAGTGTTACTTAAAGAATATCATGATGCAATATACCAAGAGGAAGTTATGTGGTTCCAGAAATCAAGAGTTGACTGGATTACACTTGGGAATAGGAATACCAAATTTTTCCATGTTTCAACTTTAGTGACAAGAATGCGTAACAAGCCAACAACTCTTAAAAATGCCCATGGAGTTTAGATGACAGAACAGGATGATATTAAAACTAAAATTCTAAGATATTTTAAGGAGTTGTTTGAGAAAGACTCAATGTATTGCCCTAACCATATACCTTACAGTTTCCAAGCTATTTTTTCACAAACTGATAAAAATCTTTTGGAAACCCCAGTGGAAGATGAAGAAATCAGAAGAACTGTTTTCATGATTAAAGGTCTTAAATCCCCTGAACCAGATGGTCTAAGGCTAACTTCTACCAAAAATATTGGGGTACCGTTAGCCCTTCAGTTTGTCATTTGATTAAAGATGCTCTCAGTAATAGAATCTTCCCAAAGGAATTGAATAATACCTAGATCACTCTTATCCCTAAGATTGAAAACCCTACCTTGGTTTCCAAATTTAGGCTAATTAGCCTTTGCAATATGTCTTATAAAATCCTAACTAAGTTGCTTGCTAATAGATTAAGACCATTCATGGATAACTTGGTATGCCCTAATCAAAGTAGCTTCATACCTGGAAGACAGACTGATGATAATATGGTGATTACTCAAGAAATTGTCACTTCAATAAGAAGCAAGAAAGGTAGGGGTGGGGAAATGATACTCAAGATTGATTTTGAGAAAGCCTGTGATAGCATAAGTTGGCCTTTTCTGCATCAAACTTTAATTGATTTTAATTTTCTTGATCCTTGGGTTGATTTAATCATGAGTTGTGTGACTGGACTATCTCTGACTGTGCTATGAAATGGTGCCCCCTTGACCCAATCACCCCTAGGAGGGGATTGAGACAAGGGGACCCCCTCTCCCCCTATTTGTTTGTGCTATGTATGGAAAAGCTTGGGCAAATGATTAATCAAAAAGTTAGTCAAGGCTTATGGAAGGGACTTAAGGCATCTAGGAATGGCCCCGAAATCACACATCTTTTTTTCCTAACGATATCATTTTGTTTTCTAAAGGATCAGAAAAGGATTTTGTGATAATCAGTGTCACACCCCAACTCCAAGGGCATGACCGGCTGTGAACCATAGATCCATAACCTATAGAACACGTAAGCCTAATAATAAACTAATAATATAGTAGTGGAAAACAACATTAACAGTAAACTGATCTCATGTCAATATGTCAAAGTCAACATACCTAAACCTGTTTACCCCAATTATCCAAACAAGTAAAGATGGTTATACGATATATGCTACAGAGATCACAATGCTATTAGTCCCCAATTAATTCCTTGAGTCCGCTAACGACACTCCAATCGTTTACCAGGAAAAATATTATTTTCAAAACATGAGCTAAAAAGCTCAGTGAATGGAAACGCATGCATATTCAAAGTGGCGGGAAAACATATTTGACATACGACATATAAATCAAAGATTTGGAAAAATAACTTCATCAAGATAACTAATTTCTCAAGAATAACACAATTGATTTTCAACAAGAAATCATACTACAATGGTGAATCATATCATAATGGTGAAGACTGTACGATATCCAATAATTGATGGGAACCAAAAACCAAATACCAAATGTCATAATATATCTCAGGGTTAGATCCAACATCATTCTTAGGGTCACCACGAGTTGGCACCCAGCAACTGTTCCCTAAGACAATTCGATGAAGGTCACCAGGATGCACCAAGAACTGTTCCTTCAACCGTTGAGTACTAGGATCACCTCAGCCTCTCTCGAGTATGTTCCCTAGTGGTCAGGGTCACACACACACAGAGGAATAATTTTCCTAGACTTTCAATCATGGTCCCATTCACCATCACTAAATCTCATCATATAAACAAGTGATTGAGTCACAATACTTCACAAAAGAATTCATCAAGGTAAGGAGAATCGTATGCCACAAGTATTTAGACACTTAGTAAAACATTTTGTAAAGGTAGTAATGAACAAACATGATGTATTGTTTTTAAAATGTTTAGGGATACGGGGAATTTTTGAAGATACGTAGCATGTCGAACCACTCACCTCAAGTCCAAATGATATGCTTCTTGAGTGTTGCTTGTCACCCGAAGTAGAGTGAGATGTTATCGATGTCTTTCCTCTTTCTCTCACGACTTCTTTCTCCTTTGATGAGGTGCTCTTTCTTCCTTTTTCTCTCTTTTATTCTCTATTTTTTCTTGAAAGTGGAAGACTATTTGTGCACTTATATACTTAATCCAATCCTCAAATTCCCTATTTATAGGCATCCTAGGATTATTCTAGAGAATATTGACATGTGACATTTTTAGGGGAGATTCCCTAGAATATTCTACCATCTCCCCTCTCCTAGGTCCTTTTAAGTTTCAAGCTTATTTTGCACATAGCAATTCCACAAGTATCTAGATTCATCTATGATATTCTAAAGTCTTCTCCAACCTTCTACGTCCTTCTGAAACTTTTCGGAACATTTAAATCCCTGTAGAACCTTCTAATATTTTCTTGAATCTTCTAAAATATTCTAGACTTCTCTAGATTGTTCTAGAACTTTTCGGATTCTTCTAGATTGTTCTAGACTATTCTAGGTTATTCTTGAACTTTCTAGAACCATCTAGAAACTTCTCCAACATTCTAGATTCTTCTAGATTATTCTAAATTCTTTTTTTAAATTTTTCTTATTCCTTTCAAGATAACATTCCCTAACTAGTTCCTTGCCAAAATGGAACGGGATATACATTCTTCCCCCCTTAAAATAATTTCATCCTCGAAATTATGCTATTTATCCCAACCGAATAAGTGTGGTATTCCTGATGCATTTGCCCTTTTGCAAAAAAAATGGCCTCAACTGCATGATTCTTTGTAACCAGTTAACCAATTGATTTGCCTTTTGTCCAGAGCCTGTATTGTTATTGCTCTTAGGTCAAATCACTATGAACATAGAATGGTTCATTGTAAATCACGAGCAATGCGCTATAAATATTCTTACTTAACATAGATGCATGAAATATGTTACACCCGCAACAAGTCGAAGTGATAGTGCCTCTCAATAGACTGCCACACCAACTCTATTCGAGACTTTGAAGCGTCTAATGCTATTAGACTTGGCCTTTCTTTTAATTGAATAACCTCTCAAAGCAGTGTAAAATTCAATAACCAAATTATTATCACTTATCATTCCATAACTTAGCCGATCAAAACTCAAAGTAAAACCATCCAGTTCCACAATCTTGTCAAGTTTTATCGTTGATTTCGATAAGCTATCTAAGCCTACACTCCACCAAGCTATTTAGATTGACATTATAGAACCAAACTTGATTAAAAATAGTGCCCATTTCAGATTTCACACATTAAAGAACAAAGACATGGGTAGTTTCCGAGGTCAAACGGTTACTCCATAAAACCCAAGGCAACCTCGGGGAAACCAAAGTAAAATGGATTTGACCACGTTAATGATAACACCTTTTGGAAGCAACATTGCATGTCAAGGATGTCTAGAACTAAGGTTCACAATTTGTTCTTATTCATTTTTATATTCTCTCTTTCTCAAACTCTCATGATAGTGTTACTAGTCCTTACTTATTACCTTTAGAATATATCGTTAAGATGAAGCACCTTGCCATATCACGGAATAACTTATGGCTTCCAATCCATTATTTTATTGTCTACCCTAAGTCTCGCACATCAAACTCATCCATGAGTAACCTAATAATTCTTGTGCAACTCTGAAAAGTAAACTTATCTGATGAAGAAGAAGAAATTGATAATTAGCCATTACAACTTGCGAACCTAAAACCACCAGCATCTACCATCTCATATATCTCTTTCTTCGATTGTCTTCCATTAAAATTGTTATCTTCCTTTACAACCTCATTTATGTATAAAACTTGACCCATATCTCTCTCCCA